CTGCCTTGGTTTAATGTTGAGGGGAGAATTCAAAGGCTTAAGGAGAATGGAATGAGAAGATCTGCTCATTCACACTGGGATGGTCTAGAAAATGTACCTTTCACTAATACTGTGAGAAAAAAAATTGTAAAGAGAGCCCTGTGACAAGGAAATTTGGAAAATAAGTGTGTGGAAAGGCCTCTCTGAATGGGAAAAAAGTGTGAAGCTATTTGTGTCTTATGTGAATGCTCACTCACAGTTGATCACATGTCTTACTCCTTTGGGGCTACTCTAACAAAATACCATAGACTGGGTAGCTTCTAAACCACAAATTTATTCTCATGGTTCTGGAGGCAGAGTTCCAAGATCAAAGTACCAACAGATTTAGTGCTGGTGAGGGCCTCTTTCATAGATAGTGCCTTGTTACTGTGCCCTCTCATGGTGAAAAGGGCAAAGCAGCTCTCTGGATCCTTATTATAAGGGCACTAGTCCCATTCATGAGGGTTCTATGCTTATGACTTAACCACCTCCCCAAAGATCTTACCTCTTAATATCATCTCCTTGGGGATAGGATTTCAATATATAAATTTTAGGGGCACACAACATTCAGAAAATAGCACAACAGCAGAGAAGCATTATAACAATCAAACAGACAGAATGGCCTGTCCTATTATTACCAGTCAACCTCTTTCCCCACCCACTCCAGTTACTGCCCAATGAACTCATAAACAAAGTGGCCATGGTGGCAGGGATAGAGGTTAAATGGGCTCAGCAATATGGACTTTCACTCACCAAGGCTGACCTGGCTACTGCCATTGCCGAGTGCCTAATCTGTCAGCAGCAGAGACCAACGGTGAGCACCTGATATAGCACCATTCTATGGGGTGATAAGCCATCTACCTGATGTCAAGTTGATTACATTGGAGTGCTTCTATCATGGAAGAGGCAGTGTTTTGTCCTTACTGAAATAGACACTTGGATACAGATTTGCCTTCCCTGCATGTTATGCTTCTGCCAAAAGTACCATCCATGGAATTACAAAATGCATTATCCACCATCATGATATTCCATACAGCATTACTGCTGATCAAGGAACTCTCTTCACAGCAAGAGAAGTCCTGCAATAGGCCCATGCTTGTGGAATTTACTGGTTTACCATGTCCCTCTCCATCCTGAATCAGCTGGCTTGAGAGAATGGTGACATAGTCTTTTGAAGGGTCAGTTATAGTGCCAGTTAGGTGTCAATGTCTTGCAGGGCTGGGAAAAGATTTTCCCAAAAGCTGTATATGCTCACAATCAGTGTACAATAAATAATGCTGATTTTCAGATAGTTAGTATTCACAAGTCCAGAAATCAAGGGGTGGAAATAGGAGTGGTACCACTCACCATTACCCTAAGTGACCCACTAACAAAAGGTTTTCTACCTTTTCCTGCAGCCTTACTGTCTGCTAGCCTAGAGGTGTTAGTCCCAGAGGGAAGAATGCTTCCACCAGGGGACGCAATGATTCCATTGAACTGGAAGACTGCCACCCAGCCACTTTGGAATCTTCATATCTCTGAATCAATAGGATAATAAGGCAGGTGCAATGTTGACTGGGATAACTGATCCAGACTATTAAGTGTAAATTGGACTTAATAGTCCAATTTTGCTAGTGGGTAACTAAGGGTAATTGTGAGTCGTGCCACTTCTGTTTCTACCCCTTGAGTCCTGAGTGGAAATCAAGGGGTGGAAATGGACATGTAAACTGGTGTATAGACTATTGAATGTAAATTGGACCATTACTACTCAGGAATGGAGGAAAGAAAGAGTTTGTCAAGAATACAGGAAATGCCTTAGGGCATTTCTTTGTATTACTATGCCTCCTGATTAGGTCAATGGAAAACCACAACAGTCCAATTCAGGCAGGACTACTAATGGCCCAGACTCTTTAGAACTGAAGATTTGAGTCACCATATCAAGCAAAAAACCAGTACTAGCTGAAGTGTTTGATAAAGGCAAAGGGGGTACAGAATGGATGATGGGAGAAAGTAGCTATGTATACCAGCTGTGACCATGTGACCAGTTACAGAAACAAGATCTGTGATTGTTATGAGTGTTTTCTTCTTTTTGTTATGAATAGAGTTGTGTGTCTGTTTCTCAAATATCTGTTTTCTTCCTTTTCATATTCCCTTATCATGTAACATAAGATGTACTAGCTTACGTCATAATATTTAAGTATTGTTTATTTTATATCAGAGTATTTAAATAGTTTTTAAGTCAAAAAATATCAAGGAGAAAAGTAAACTTACTCGAGAATTTTATCACTTTCCATGGAAGGGATTAGTATGCTTTCAGTTGAATGCATGACAGTTGCATCATGTTAGGTAAAATTGTGATCTTGTTATTGCCTTTATGTGGAGAGTATGGTTTAAGGAGATGTGTATGGGTGCCAAGTTGACAAGGGCTGAACTTGTGATAGTTAATTTTGTGTGTCAACTTGACTGGGTCATAGGGTACCTAGATATTTGGTTAAATATTATGTCTAAGTGTCTCTGTGAAGGTGTTTCTGGGTGAGATTAGCTTTTGAATCTAGACTGTGCAAAGCAGACTGTCCTCCCCAATGCAGGTGGGCCTCATACAATCCTTTGAGGACCTGAACAGAACTAAAATATGGAGGATGAGAAAATTTGCTTTTCTTGCCTGACTGCATGAGATGGGACATCACTTTTCTGCCCTTAGACTGGGGCTTATACCATCAGCACTACTTGTTCTCAAACCATTTAACTCAGACTGTAACTATATTACCAGGTTTTCTGATTCTCCATCTTGCAGATGGCGGACCATGGGACTTCTCACCTTCCAGATAGATAGATAAACAATTCTATTGGCTCTATTTATCTGGAGAACTCTGACTAAAACACATGACTAAATCCTTATAATTTAAGTCTTCAAATGGTATTTCCTCAGAGAAGTCTTTCCTATTCCTGCCTATCCTGGGAACTGCAAATACCTCAAGGTTCCAGGGAATAGTGAGTAGTAAAGGAGGCAGCTGGTTGGGGATTACATGAAACCTGAGAATTCATGCTCTCTCTCAAGAGGTATGCTACTACCCAGTTCCAGGTAATTTGTGCCACATGGCACAACTCAGTTATCAAGAAATATCATCTCAGTTATCAAGAAAAGCAAAAAATCTAGATTTTTAGGTAGAAATATCCTAAATGTAAAAAACTAGCAAGAAATGTAAAGTTTTAAAAGACACATTGGAGATCAAACAAAATATATTTCTGAGCCCAAGTCATCCCATATACCTCTACTTTGTAGCCTCTGCTCTATCACATCATTTTATGACTGCCTGAGATTATATAATTTCCTATATGTTTCCTTCTTGTCAGAATTTAAACCCTATAAGGGACCTTGGCTACCTGTTCAACTTTACATTTTCAAGGCTAAGAACAGTGTCCCACAAATAAAAAAAATAGTATTATTGAAGTTTTGAAACATATGCTAAAAGTAGAGGTAATAGTACCATTACCCAGATTCAACAATTATTACATTGTGTCATTTTTGTTTCACCTATCTCTTCTACTGGCTTTTTATTTGAGCATTTTAAACAAATCCCAAAACTGTCACTTCAAACCATAAATATTTCCATATGCATGAAAATTTTAAAAATCATAACCACTATGTTATTGCTCTAAGAAAATTAACAGCAAGTCCTTAATATCATATAATACCAAGAACATATTAAATTTTCCCAACTGCCTTATATCTTAATAAGTATTTGCTGAATAAACGATGAACAAATGAATATAAGTGTCTGACAGTAAACTTTCTAAATCCTTGAAATGTGAAACATAATTATCCTTATTAGCAATTTTAGGATGACATGTCAGAAGAACCTTGGTTTTCAAACTTTTTAACATATTCCCCATATCTCTGTAGGTTTTCAAAATTTAAAAGGTGGAGGATTGGTTCAACAAGTACTTACTGTTTTAGTCATGTATATGAAACCTAAGGGTAAAATTTTGTATTGGATATTTACTCAAGAAAAAAGAAGATATGTCTTTGCACAGATACTTATACAATAATATAACAGATTGACTCAAAATAACTAAGCACCAGAAACAACCCAAATATGTATCAATTACTGAACGGATAAACTGTGATATATTTATACACTGTAATGCTACTCAGCAATAAATAAAATACACAAAAAGATGGATGAATCTTATAAACATTATGTTGAATAAAAGAAGCCAGACCCAAAAGTATATACTCTAGGATCTCAATGATATAAAATTTGAGAGCAGGCAAAACTAATTTATAGTGAAAAGCTATCAGAACAGTGGTTGTCTATGGGGAGTGAAGTGAAGTGGGATTGACTGTAAATGAGGCATGACAGAACTTTCTGGGGTGATGGTAATTTTAATAGGGGTTTAGTTACACAGATATGTACTTTTTTAAAACACATGGAATTGTACACTTAAGATTATGCATGTTTTATATGTAAATTTTGCCAAAACAGAATAAAATGTTTAGGTAGATGTCTTACTGATGTCAGCTATTTACTTTGAAATGTATCCAAAAAATAAGATGTCTTGAGGGAAGATAGAGGTATGCATATGTGGACAGATCTGTGATGAAGCAACATAGTAAAATGTTAGCAGTAGAATCCAGTTTTAAAATCTCCCCAATTGCCATATATCTTAATAAATATTGGCTGAATAAATGATTAACCAATGAATATAAGTATCCGACAGTAAACTTTCTAAATCCTTGAAATGTGAAACATAATCTTCCTTATTAGAAATATTAAGATGACAAATCAGAAGAACCTTGGTTCTTCAGGTGTTTACTATACAATTCTTCCAGCTTTGATGTGTTTAACATTTTTTAAAAAATAAAATGTTGAGAAAAATCTCCATAGTGGTTTTCAGAAGATGGGAGGGGAAAACAAAGGGCTAGTTTGAAAACATATATGACTTAGCCTTTCTGAGATACTTGCTGAACTGCCTCTCTAGCTGACTTTGGATGAACTGACCTCCACTTCCAGTTCTTGTGTAAACTGGTAGCTTTTTGGCCATATCAACAAGCATCTGCTTCTGGACCTCAGGTCTCTCTTCATTTTCATAGCGTTCCTTGTCTGTGTAGGACAAATGGAACTGAAAGCAAAAGTGAAAGGTAAGACTTTATTATCTAAGGTTAATAGAGAAGATTAAAACAAACAACAATAACTACTTTAATGAAATTATTAGTTACCTACCCTTGAAGCTCAGGTATCCATTTGTCTTATAATATTCCCTGGATAATTATCTCAATAATCTGGCTTTTATCTAAATCTCCAAAAGCATGAGATAAGTGTATTGTTTTATAAAGAAAATAAAACACAGAGATAAACTACCTTGCCTAAGGTTGCACTTAATCAACTAACAAGTGACAATGCTAGATCTCAAACTCATTTCATCTGATTTCAAGACTTGTGCCCTTCCATTGATATGATGCTGCAATCAGATGAGTAACACATTTCTGTCAGGGCTCTGTTGATAATTAACCATGCTTACCAAGTTGCAAGAATTTTCATAGGTGACACTGATAACACCCTTAGAGAAGTGAGATCAGACTGCTTATAATATTGTCTGCATATTCTAATTTCATAAATAAGTGGAAATTTAGATATTCTCACTTCTTGAACTGTTTTAGTCTGGTATGGAGCTTGTTGCCACAACAGTGCCACATTTTGCTAATCTTGCGAGATATGTCAATGATTTTCAAAAGGAATATGAACCTGAAAGCATTTATTCTATCTGTGCCAAAGGGTAGACTGAGGTGAAAAAAAGGATCTCTGGTCAGAATTTCTGAGTTTAAGTCTCATCTCTATCACTTCATAAAAAATCACTTTGCAAATCAGACATTCTCAACCTGTTTCTTCATCTGTAAAGTAGAAGAAATAATGCCTACTTCATAATACTTGTGCAGAAGTGCTGACTAATAACAAGTAAATAAATATCCCTTTAGGAAGCCTAATTTTTGAATGATTTTAAAATATTTGATATTTCCAAATGTTTTTAATTTTAACTCTTCTAGTTGGTATGGTGTATTAGTCCATTCTTGCAAAGTGTACCATGTGTACTGGTATTTTATTGTGATTTATTTTGTATCCCTTTGATTACTAATGATATTGAGCACCTTTTCATGAGCTTATTGGCCATTTGGATATCCTCTTCTGAACTACCTATTCCAGTCTTTTGTCCATTAAAAAAACTGGGTTGTTCAGCATATGAAAAAGCTCATCCACCATGATCAAGTAGGATTCATCCCAGGAGCGCAAGGCTGGTTCAACATATGCAAGTCCATAAACATAATTCACCACATAAACAGAACCAAAGACAAAAACCACATGATTATCTCAATTGATGCAGAGAAGGCCTTGGACAAAATTCAACAGCCCTTTATGCTGAAAACCCTCAATAAACTAGATATTGATGGAACGTATCTCAAAATAATAAAATCTATTTATGACAAACCAACAGCCAATATCATACTGAATGGGCAAAAACTGGAAGCATTCCCTTTGAAATCTGGCACTAGACAAGGATGTCCTCTATCACCACTCCTATTCAATATAGTACTGGAAGTTCTAGCCAGAGCAATCAGGCAAGAAAAGGAAATAAAGGGTATTCAAATAGGAAAGGAGGAAATCAAATTGTCTCTATTTGCAGATGACATGATTGTATATCTAGAAGACCCCATCGTCTCAGTCCAAAATCTCCTGAAACTGATAAACAACTTCAGCAAAGTCTCAGGATACAAAATCAACGTGCAAAAATCACAAGCATTCCTATACACCAGTAACAGACTTAAAGAGAGCCAAATCAAGAACGAACTGCCATTCGCAATTGCTACAAAGATAAGAGAGGACACAAACAGATGGAGAAATATTCCATGTTCATGGTTAGGAAGGATCAACATCGTGAAAATGGCCATATTGCCCAAAGTAATTTACAAATTCAATGCTATTCCCATCAAGCTACCAATGATCTTCTTCATGGAACTGGAAAAAACCACCTTAAACCTCATATAGAAGCAAAAGAGAGTCCACATAGTCAAGTCAATTCTAAGCAAAAAGAACAAAGCAGGAGGCATCACACTACCGGACTTCAAACTATACTACAAGCCAACAGTAATCAAAACAGCATGGTACTGGTACCAAAACAGAGATATAGACCAATGGAACAGAACAGAGGACTCAGAGGAAATACAACATAACTACAACCATCTGATCTTTGACAAACCTGACAAAAACAAGCAAGGGGGAAAGGATTCCCTGTTTAATAAAAGGTGTTGGGAAAACTGGCTAGCCATGTGCAGAAAGCAGAAACAGGACCCCTTCCTGACACCTTACACCAAAATTAACTCCAGATGGGTTAAAGACTTAAATATCAGACCTAACACCATAAAAACCCTAGAAGAAAATCTAGGCAAAACCATTCAGGACATGGGTGTAGGCAAGGACTTCATGACCAGAACGCCAAAAGCAATGGCAACAAAAGCCAAAATAAACAAATGGGACCTAATCAAACTCCACAGCTTCTGCACGGCAAAAGAAACAGTCATTAGAGTGAATCAACAACCAACAGAATGGGAAAAAATTTTTGCAGTCTACCCATCTGACAAGGGGCTGATATCCAGAATTTACAAAGAACTAAAGCAGATCTACAAGAAAAAAACAAACAAGCCCATTCAAAAATGGGCGAAGGATATGAACAGATACTTTACAAAAGAAGACATACGGAGGCCAACAAACATATGAAAAAATGCTCATCATCACTGGTCATTAGAGAAATGCAAATCAAAACCACATTGAGATACCATCTCACACCAGTTAGAATGGTGATCATTAAAAAATCTGGAGACAACAGATGCTGGAGAGGATGTGGACAAATAGGAACACTTTTACACTGTTGGTGGGAGTGTAAATTAATTCAACCATTGTGGAAGACAGTGTGGCGATTCCTCAATTACTTAAAAATAGAAATCCCATTTGACCCAGCAATCCCACTACTGGGTATATATCCAAAGGATTATAAATCATTCTACTACAAGGACACATGCACACAGATGTTCACTGAAGCACTGTTTACGATAGCAAAGACCTGGAACCAACCCAAATGCCCATCGATGATAGACTGAATAGGGAAAATGTGGTGCATATACACCATGGAATACTACACAGCCATCAAAAACGATGAGTTTGCATCCTTTGTAGGGACATGGATGAACCTGGAAACCATCATTCTCAGCAAACTGACACAAGAGCAGAAAATCAAACACCGCATGTTCTCACTCATAGGTGGGTGTTGAACAATGAGAACACATGGACACAGGGAGGGGAGCACTACACGCTGGGGTCCGTTGGGGGGAAATGGAGGAGGGATGGGGAGGTGGGGAGGTGGGAAGAGATAGCATGGGGAGAAATGACAGATACAGGTGAGGGGAAGGAAGGCAGCAAACCACACTGCCATGTGTGTACCTATGCAACAATCTTGCATGTTCTTCACATGTACCCCCAAACCTAAAATGCAATAAAAAAAATTGGGTTGTTTGTCTTTTTTTGGCTATTAATTTACAGTCTTGTCATTTTTGTCTTTTTTTGGGTATTAATTCTTTATATATTTTAGATATAGTTTTTATCAGTTTGTGGCTTTCTCTTTTACTTCTTTTATGGTGGATTTTGATGAACAGAAGATCATGGTGGGAGTGTAGATTTATACAATCAGTTTGGAAAATTTTGGCATTATCTGTTTACACTAAATACATGCCTGTCTTATGACCCCAGCAATTTTATTCCTACTCCTATACCAAAGATAAATGAGTTTGTGTGTGTATATGTGTCAGTGTGTATTAAAGTTTTTACACACACACACACACACACACACACACACACACACACACACAGTCAGCCTTTCCTATCCATGGTTCCACATTCATGCATTCAACCACCTGGATTAAAAATATTTTAAAAATTAACAATACAAGAAAAATAATACGAAAAAAATCAATACAAAAATTGTTTCCATAGCATTTATAGTGTATTCATATTGTATGTAATCTAGAGATGATTTAAAGTATGTAGGAGAGTGTGAATGGGTTATATGCAAATACTATGGCATTTTATGTAAGCAGCCTGAGCATCAGCAGATTTTGGTATCTATGAGAGGTCCTGAAACCAATCCCCTGTGGATACTGAGGAACAACTATATTTATATGTCAAAGACATGTACAAGGATGTTCATTGCAGCTTTATTCATAACACACACACACAAAAATGGAAACAAGTGTACTTCAATGGCTGAATGGTTAAACCAAGTGTGATAAAATGGAATAACTAACAACAAAGGAAATGAACTGTTGAAAAATGTATCAACATGGATAAATTTGAAAAACACTGTTGAGTGAAAGGTATGCATAGAATAGCACCAACTATAATTCCTTTTTTATGGACTTCACAGACAAAACCAAACTATGGTGATAGAAGTTAGAGTAGTAGTTACCTCTGAGAGGAGGCTGATTGAAAAGAGCATGAATATTTATGAAGTACTAGAAATGTTCAAAATCTTAACCTGGATAGTGTTTACATGAGTATAATGTATGGGTGAAAATTCGTCAAATTATTCTCTTTAAAACTTAATTCTGGGAGTAGAGTCTGTATGTTATACTTCAATAAAATAGCAAAATAAATAATAACATATTTCAGATGATTTAAATATATCTAACTTTAAAAATTGGAAATATATAAAATCAAACACTCTATTTTAAGAACCGCTAGTGGTGCATTTTTATGGTACTGTCATCCTCAAATAGAGTGAGAATTAAGTACCCTGTTTGAAGTATGTGAAAATATGTAGAAACATTTTTGGCTATTACAATGAATGTGGTGCACTATAGGCAATTAATCCTTAGCCTAGGGTGTTAAAGATTCTCCAATGAGCTGAACAAATTCACACAACTATTTTTCCCAACCGAAGATTAATAGGTGGTATGAGAGGGGCCCAGATGGCTGATTAGAAGCAGCTGTGGTCCATGGCACTCACAAAGAGGAATGAAAGTGGTGAATGAGTTCAGCACTTTCAACTAAAATATCCAGGTTCTTGCATTGGGATTG